GGCTCGCTGTAATTTCATGTAGGCAATCCATTAAATATTAATTATGTCCAGTGATCTGAGACAGATTCATTACTCATTTACAGTATGATCAGTATGACCAGCCTTTCTGATCGGCGTGCAAACAGGCTTTTCAAAGACAAGGACGTTCCTAAGTCACCTCAGTGTCTGGACACAACAGAAAATCTGATTATGTGACAAGTTTGATGTAACAATAATAATAATATTCAGTTTACTTAAACATGAACATTTTACATGGTTACATTGTAGTCATGGTGGGTTGTTGGTCAGACAAAACAAGATTCTTGGGCACTGTGATGACTTTTGTCAGATCAGATAAAAGCAGATAAAATAATCTCCACTTCAATTAAAATGTTTCCATTATTTGCTGTGTCTTCTCACTCTGTGCTGCTAGTCCCACAGTGTTCATATTCTGTGACTGTGGGGCTGCGTTCCACTGATGGAAAATGTGACGGCACCTGTGTTCTGCCGAGTGTAAAATATTGTCTTGCCTTTTTCCATTAAGTAACACGAACCAGATCCGGCTTCCTGAGTTTCCACTTATTTAAAATCACTGCAATAAGTCAACTATCTCCAGTCACTTGACCTGAACAACACTGCGGGTTCTTTACAGTGTGGATTCAACGTGCTTTACTTTTACTACACAGATCATGTAAAGTCTTATGCTGTTCCTAAAATAATGACACAAGTTTTCTGTGAAAGTCAACCGATCAAATTTATGGTAGATAAGGTGGGAGAGTAGTCTCTGGTGTGTGACACAGTTTCTGCTGGCTGACACATCAGCTGCAGGCAATGATGTGACATAACTCACGCTGGTGCACTTCTGTGCTATTTGATTTTTACATGGTGATAAAACTTTGAAGCAAAGTGATAACAGAAGGAAATATAAACATGGAGAAGAAGTATCCATCCATCCATTTTCTTCAGCCAATCAAAGTCAGGCTCGCAGGAAGGCCAGAGGTTAGGCACTCTACAGGGCCAACACAGAGGCCGCGTCCACACCAGCGCTTTCAGTCGTTTTCACTGAGTTGTGCGTCCACATTGAAGCGGCTGAAAACGCTTCATCTAGTCCTGCGCATGCGTGAAGCGCAAGAAGATTCAGCCTGCCTCATTTCTGTCTGCCGCTTATTTACTTTCCGGCTTTTGAAACGTGGCGGCAGAATGTCGAGGAAAAGCAGCGAGTTCTTTAAATGGAAACGTAGAAACTAACAATGAGCTGGAGTTGTTGCTGCGAGTAACACAAAGGTACAACGTTGCAAAAGCATTTGAAGAAAAGCTCTCTGGAGCACGTACAGACTGATATTAATCTTTAACAGGGCTGTCAAACAAAACAGCTGCTGTATAATGCCCTCTGCTATCTGTGTTTAATTGGTCACATGACTGCATCACATGACTAACGTTCGTCATCGTTTTAGAAAGGCTCCGGGTTCGCTATCCACACTGCGACGCGAAAACGGCGTCTTCAAATGTATCCGCTTGGAGAGCGTTTTGAAAACGCTGCGATTTCCTTGAGCAAAAACGCTGCGTCTCAGTGTGGACGGGAGGCCAAGACGCAGAGAAAACGATGTGTTTTCAAACGAAAGCGTATCAGTGTGGACGTAGCCAGAGACAACCATTCACACCTATGGCCAATTTACACACTGACTGCAGGTCTGTGGACTGTAAGGAAGCTGCGGTACCCAGAAAGAGCGCATGCAGGAGGACACACCTCCACGTAGAAAGGCCCGGGTCAGATGGTGGAAGAAGAAATATGTATTTCTAATTTGAACGGCCTTATAAATGCACCAGTGTTGACCCCGCTGTCCCCTCAGTTTGGGAAACTTGAGCGTTAGCACATTACCATTAAGATGAAGAGCTCACAACACATACAAATGGACTGGTTTTCTACTCTGCCAGAGCACTCAAACATCTTTATACAACATGCACCATTCATGAGTCTGTCAGAGAGCAACTCAGGGTTACTATCTTACCCAAGTATGCAGGCTGGAGCAGCCAGGAATTGAACCACCAGCCTTCCAAACAGTAGATGACCTCCTCTCCTCCTGAACTACAGCCAGTCAGCATGATAAAGGGCCACCCACTTTCCTTTATCCAGCTGAAGTGTGCTGGGCTGCTGAAGCCTCCCAGCAGGATGAACCCCAGATCTGATCTGATGCTACATAACCATAACATGATAACATGGTTTCTACAGTCTCCTCTGTAGACTGATAACAATAAAGAGACTTTTTCTACTTTTTCCTCAAACATGATCAGGGTTACTTCCTTTCATCCATCATCCATCCATTACAGGGGACTAGAATCAGTGGCAGCATTCTCTGAGGTAGGATTACCTGCCAGAAGTCAAAGCACGACAGTTGTGTCCAATTCTGGGTGGTTTTTGACCGATCTTTGACTTTTAATGCTCACATCAAGTCTCTGGGCCGCTCTCGTTTTTTCCATTTAAGAATTATTGCTAAACTCAGGACGCTGTCTCCGAGAGCAAACCAGAGATGCTTGTGCACGCTGCCTCCAATCTTTGTGTCAAAGTGCTGCTCTGAGGCTTTCATTGCCTGTTTTCTGTCCTCCACTCAGCTGGGCACCGAATGAACCAATAGCTGGTGTTCTGTTGACCAGCCTCCGCCATTTGTGACTCATTAACTCTGTGCAGTCATACGACTTCAGGCTGCTATCAGATCATATCCTGATTTCTCAAGGACTGTCCCCCCATAATGATTGACTTCAGTTAGGGCAGATGAGTCAGAACAGCCAGTCGAGGCCATTGCAACATCCGGAGAGTGGACGACGACACAAAGTGGATATGTGCTGTGGACTTCGTTAACCTAATTGGGATTTTGGAGAGGCACTTTCACAGCCTGACGTGACCATCACGTATGTCTTCACATGTTTGAGAAGTGCACACACACAGAGATCATACTGTAACTCACTCCATAGAACACCTTTTATTTCAAAAGTCAATAAAAACAGTAAAAATAAGACTTTACTACAGTTCAGACTTCTTTTCCTACCATGTTTAAGCAGCAGTGGAACAACTTTGGTGATACACAGACATAAACATACAAAGATAACTTAAATACATGACTTTTTTAAATACTTTGGTTGATTATCTAAATATTCACAGGTGCCCGTGATGCTCACGGTGAAGCCACGTGGAAGGCACTGACATCTTCAAACACATTCGCAGACAGCCACATTTACACAAGTACATCAGGGCTTTTCATAAGTCTGTTACAGGGAGCAAAATTCAAGTTGTGACAAACGTTGGACAGACATGCTTTAAAGTGCTTCCTGTGATCTAAAGAAGATCGGGTGTCTCTCAGATGGAAAACAAGCAAACAAACCAGATGTGCCTGTTTGTAACAGAAACACTGTTAACCTGCCTGATTGGCTCTGGATGCTTGCTCTGTGCGGACGTATCGGCGGTCGTGGACAGTTTGCTCATACAGCCCCACATGAAGCAATGTCTGATGTCACAAGAACACACTGCGTTTAAACAAAAGACGTTAAAATACAGGCAGCAGGAGCACAGCGATCCAGAGCAGATCAAACACAGGAGATACGTTTCCTGGTAGGCTAGCAGTGCAAACACACACATGTATCGTGTGTGTGTGTGTGTGTGTGTGTGTGTGTGTGTGTGTGTGTGTGTGTGTGTGTGTGTGTGTGTGTGTGTGTGTGTGAGAGAGAGAGAGAGACATTCTGGAAAGTACAGAAATCAACCAGGTTGTTTTAGCGTTTGAAAAGCCTTTTAATGATCGGTCACGAGACACTGATTAGCTCCATTACAGCAGAGAGTTGCACCTCAACAAGCCTTTGAACAGGTTAAGACCTCTGATTATTGTGACCTGTGACCTCACAGCCCCCACAATTACAGGCAGGATTAGCAAAAAAAGAGACTAAATGCAAACATGTAAAAAAGGAGAAAGACATCAGGCTATAAAAGAAGCGCACACTGTAAAGTCGATTTGTCAAGTACTATCAGGTATTTGGTGATTTTAAACTAACGTCAGTAATAACCAGATATCGCTCAGTGGCCTGTATCCTTTAAAAAGACATAAAGAGTAGCCAAACATATAGTAAAGACTTGGAATAGAGAAATTAAATATATGTTTTACAGTTTTTGTAAGGTTTAACCCAATTCTAGGACTCTTGATGAGGAAACTTCGGTTATTTTCAGTCCATCGTCTGCCCACCACTTCGGACGTGAATATAAATAGAGTGAGAGGAAATGTTAGGACTTGGGTTTTTGCTATTTCGTGTACATATTTGAAACTGGGCACTGCTACACCTAACATTTTGGTTGCTCTGGTCCCTCATTACAAAACAGCAATGTAGTCGTAAAGCCTTTGGCCATCATCTCAGGACTAATTTAAACCCATTTAGCCCATTACACATCAACATTAAGGGTGTTTTACCAACTGTAACATGCAGCTGAACTTTTCTTATTCAGTCTTCCTAAAAAAGACTTCACACAGTTGGCATCGAAGACTTGGCTCATGAGCAGATTGCAGGCTTGTACAGCCTCCACTTTAATGAAACACAGAGGAAAACATTTAGGAAGAAATGCACTCATGTGCACACTCAGCAGTTTTCACAAAAGTCCTTCAGTTGGTCCATAAGACGTCCAAAGGCACGTAAAGAAGGTCAAATGTGTTTTTGGTTTCATGAGATCGATCTAGAACTGAAAGCGACTATCGAGCTACTGAGAAACATCAACAGGAACATCTTCGTCCAGACCAAGAGTCCACATCGCTCCGTTACAACTACTCGACAACACTGTAACTATGGGAACATGGGCTCATTTTTACCATTTGCCAAGCCTTTAATATCTGCACGTTTGCGTATTTCACTTTAGCGCCGCAGACAGCGGGAGACTTGGAAAGCCCCCCAGCCCCCTCCCACCCCTCACATTGTGACTGAACCTTTAGGTTTATTAAACGGCTGTCAGTCCAAAGTCCTGCCATTCTCCCTGCAGGGAGAATGGCAGCAGCGGCGTGACAGAGGACTGATCCATGACTCCAACGTTCACTGTGCTGTGATAGCCAACCAGCCAGTGCAGCTCAAAATTGAAAGCGATACTTAGGGGAGTCCGTTTGTTTGCATTCCATCCAAAGCAACAGAAGCTGACCCTCTCCTCTCTCTGTGGTAAAGTCTTGCTGAATGATGAGTTCGCAGTTCTGAGGCAACTGGAAACTTGCGACCTGCTCCAGGGGTGTCAGTGTTCAATCTGAAATTGCATGTGAGTCCAAAATTAAGACAAAGGGGGCCACAGAAAAGAGGTAAAAGGGTTCACTGAGTCGCCGACGAGTTCTCTAGGAATACATTGGTTCTGACAGGAATCCAGCTCACGCTGCAGCTTCAAATCCACATTAATGGCTTAAGTGTTTGATCAGTGAGCGGCAGGATAACCACTCCTGCGGAGGTCAGTGGGCAGATAGGACCAGGCCGCTGGATGGTGTTGAAGACAAGCCTTCATTCTTATATTAACAGGATTTAAACATCAGCCTGAGATCTCTTGGCTTCTTTTGAACGTTCCAGAGGGAGATTCAGAAAGACATCACTAACCCTCAAAGCCAAACTTTCTCATGATGGTGGGAGAAATCAGTTCAGGGGCTTGAAAGAAGATTCAATCAGTCCTGATTTAAAGTTTTAAATCCATATATTGTGCACAAAAATTAGAAGCAACAGTCATCTAAGGCGGGTATAATAAAAGTTGTGTACTACATCAAACTCTAATGCAATAACTATCAATAATACATTAAGAAACAATAAATAAATGGAGCAATAGATAGACTTGCTGTGGCTATTTGGAGGTTTTATCGAAGTCATCCAAAGCTGTGGGGGCTCCTGGGATTAATGGGAGAAGAGTCTTCTCTGCCAGTTTGGCCAATAAGCTGATAGAGCCTATGGCTGAGGTTCTGCACTTGACAGGTCCCCAGGACGCAACCCACCCGCATCAGTTTGGCATGGTGATGGTTGTGGTGACCCCCTCGTGAGTGGGCATGGCGACGAGCTCTCGGTGCCCGTCGCTCAACCTGCAAAGCCTCGGTGGACCGCACCCACGCCAAGGCCGGGGAGGCTGTCCTTGCTCCTGATGCCAGTCGCTGCTTCATGAATCCAGGCAGCCGGTTTGGGGATCGGCTCAAGGGTGAAGATGGGACCGTGCTGATAGTCTGGCTTTCTGCAGCGGGAGCGTTATCCTCTTTCTGGCCAATGAGTTTGTTGAGAACATCCAACCTGAGGAGAAAAGAGATGTCGGGTGAAAAGCTGTTCTACAGGAGTGAGAGGGATTCATACTGAAAGTGCACCAGAAACGTGAAACAACTCAAGATAGCATGAGAACATAGAGCAATACTAGCAGCTACACATAACTAAAAGTGTAAGCTAGAAGTTAATGTGTTATATTCTCAGCAGGTAGAATTGTGACGAGTTCACGAGACAGTTTTGCAGCTAGCATGCTAATTTGTGCTAACTAGAACTAGCTAAGCCGTCAGGAGTTTCTGTTTGTCCAGAAAATTCCAAAAATATCAACTGTGCCAATCACTGCCACGACTGTTAGCACGATCGAGGGCAATGCTAATTCTGCGGACATCTAATTATAGGTGCAATTTGGTAAATAAACATTTTATGCTAGCTTCTGAACACCGCACAGAGCATCCTTCAGCATCTATATCCTTCACAGGCCAAGTTAAGCTACAAACATGAAAGTTGTAAAGGATCACCCCATCCAACATGTAAAATGTAAAAAATCACACACTTTCTCAGAAACTATTGGCAAGATGGACAGCACCTCTTGTGTGATTGGTCCATCTGTACAAACAGGCTCGTGAGAATACACATGACACTAAATGATGTGTTAAGGTGTGCAGTGTGGCGGACCACTGGCTCAGACATTTTCAGCAAACAGCAGTGGCCGACTCGCCATCTGTTCTTTGTTTGACAAAAACAGTGGCTCCTTCGCTGACCTGTTAGCGCCATGTTTGCGTAGCACGGTGTGACTCAAAATCCCGAGAGAAGTAAAAAGAAACAATGACTGCTCGGTCACATTTCAGACTGTGGAATAGCTATGTTGGTCCACACACGACGCGGTGCTTGTACAAATAAAGGATGTAGGTGCCTTTCTGTACCCGTTACCTGCTGGACTGCCCCTCTGTGTGACTATCAAAGTGATTTCTCTTTGGTTTTACAGCCTGTTGTGAAATACTGGTGTTTCTCACTGCTTGGTTTTGCTTTGGCACCAGTAAGGTTTGGGATAAGATCGCTGTTTGGTGAAGAATATCTGGCGTCACAGTGTCAGCTACATCTGTTAAAGCCACAATTTTCATTTCCCAAAGTTGCCAGGATAAATATTTTGCTGTGACACTGGGCTTAACATCATGTTGTGCCTGGATGAACTAAAAAAGGTGGAATCTTTGCCAGAGGTTTACATTTAGGATTAGAATGAATCCATCTTTCGTGTTCGCCTTTCGAAGCAAAGATGGAAAAATGTTTCACCATTTTAATTATAAAACGTGTCTTCCACATGTGAAACGCTAACTCGTGTTATCTTCTCATGAACACTCCCTGCTGAGTTCTCCAAGACTTCACAGCCTGTGGTTGGTTTGAGACTCCTCCCAGAGACGCTAAGTGCAGCTGCTGGCTCACTGTTGGCAGAGCCGGTCGCCTTTAGAGGACCTGCTATCCAACAGTGGCGATGGCTGAATAAATAGTTGCATAATGGTAGGCCGCAGACGGAGGAAAGCACTATTTCCAGGACAGGCCGCAGTCTGCCACAGTGCCACATCATCAAGTTACACCCACATGGTCTGCACGGTGAACGCTTAAAGCTTATTTGCATAGCTGCAGCGGTGGCCCCACAACAGATCTCATAAACGCATTTACACAACCCAATGACAGGATGTATAGTTTGTATATTTCCATACGGATACTTACTGTAACCCACAGCATTTTCATTGTTTCAGGCTGGTTTTCACAGCAGTGATAATGGATGTGACTGATGCGAGTCTATAGCAGCTGTAATCTGTGGTGCTCATGACTCTTTCTGTTTGTATCCTGGATCCAGGAGGTCAAAAGTTTAGCATAAGAACATCAATCTTTTCTGACTGGGGCTGAAAAATACACTCATGCAGCTGCCATGTGCAATGTTAAGGTGCTGCAGTGATGTAGGCAATAATAACTGCCTCACATCTAAGAAAAGCATCTGGTACCCCATGGCAACCCCCCCTTGCTTTTCCTGGTCAGTAATCCAGCTCTGTTTATTGTGCGCATTAATGAGGTAAAGGGGATTATGGAGCAACGCACCGCAGTGTAGGAAAAGCCTTGTGATCAATGACAGCAGTGCCTCCGATTCCCGAGCAAACCATCGGAGCACCTGGTGCACTTAGTTAATGGTCTTGAAAAATAAATATGTGCCGGGGAACAAGCGCTGCATTTTGGTTGGGCCAACATCACCTGCAGCTGGAACAATGCCTGACCTCCCTGCAGTCTAACCAGTCATACAGTGAAGGAGACCTTTGTGTTTGGCAGGAAATCAAAGACGTCCGGGCTTCTGATTTCTGATGTGTTGCAATATCCCAAGTTTATGGCTTTCAGACACATTTGGCTGATGATTTCATAGGACCTAACAGTTAGATTAAAGGTGAAGCCAGTACCTGTAGATCAGCCGTGTTTCCTTTTCTTCTCTATTAATGACGACGAGCTGTATTAGTTGTTTTAGGACGTCAAATCTGGGCTGAAGTCTCTGAGCAGATTTGGCCTCCCTGCAAGTCATAGTCTAATCTTAAATTCCAGCCACAGGTCTCATGGAGGGGAAACGAAACATAAACCCAACCCTGAGCCTTCCTAAGATTGGCCCGCAGTAATCCTAACACTTCAGATTTAAACCCACTACGTTTCAAACGTACACGTTTACAGATGTTTCAAAGGGAATCAGCCATCCGAGGATGAGGAGCGAAAGCTGACAGAAATCTCTGTCTCAATGAAACGAGCTGGGCACTTCCAGCTTTCTAACCCTGGGCTGTAATTTCTATTGTTCAAGCCTTTTTGGCCTCTGAATAAACTCCAGCTGGTGAATTACATCTTGCCATCACCAGTGTGTGAATGTGTGCGTGAATGGGTGGATGACTGGATATGTAAAGCGCTTTGGGGTCCTTAGGGACTAGTAAAGCGCTATATAAATACAGGCCATTTACTAATTACATGAACTGACAGATGCCAAGTTATAGTTCACAAACCACATAATTCTGATGGATGTAGACAAGACAAAAGGGTGGTTTCTCTTCCCCTCAGAAGCTGCTTTTATTTTCCAAATGCCTTTTGAGGAACTTAAACCACACACTGATCCTCTTACATGCATGTCTTCTACTCTTACATGACGTACAGTGCATTCATGTGCAGCGGCTCTCTGTGTGAGCAGAAACCTGCTCTTTAAGGATGCGAACGTTGGAATTTAGGTCTTAGACATTAATCCACAGCGGAATTCCTGCCGGCAGCCTTCTCAACTTCAGCCTGTGCTTGTGCAGATTTACCTTGATGTGCTTGTACTCTACACATACTCCACACCAGCCCTGAGCAAGTTCAGTGTTTACAACAGGCTGCAAATCAAAGTAGACGCATAAGAAGAAGCCTGGGTTGAGGCGCTAAATTTGAAATCATCCCAGAGGAATAAAGGTGGTTTAAAGAGATGCTCAGAATCGAAACATCAAATGTCTGGACCCCAAACCAAGAAACAGCAGAAAGGCTCCGGCCATGCTCTGTGAGGTGTTTTTCTCTGATAGTCATGTTGGTGCTCGGTGAAAACGCGACAATTCGGCCCTGAAATGTTCAGACAAACTTGCAGCCCAACTTATGCACACAGGCTGATCCAGACAAAGCCGGGGCCATCGAACAAAAGCCTGACCGCAAACCAGCTTCAGAGTCTTCAGTCTGCAAGCAATGAGCTGCTTCCCACTTCCAGAATCTGGACCTAAAGCCGCTTCACTCCTAAAGCAATGTTTAACTTGTCTGGCTGCAGACTATTTTCAGCTACAAAAAAGATGTTATGTAAAATGATAATGAGGGGTATGTGTTGCCGTCTTATGCTTAACAAACAATTTCTCCTCGTTTGGAAAGCGCCTGCTTGGCATTGTTACATCTCTCTGTGTCCATATCAGGACACAGGGAGACAATATGGACACAAACACAGGACGTGGAAGGAATGACAGACATCTGAGCTCAAGAGTCCAACAGACAAAAACATGTGAAGTGGTGGTGTCTGCTGTTATCATGCTGTCAGCTGGTGACAGGAACCGAACAGGATGCGTTAGGAGGGTGTCGCAGTCGAGGTCTACAGCACGATAGAGCCCAGACTCTTTCCTTTCACCTGCACGTCTCTGTAAGTGGTCAACAACAGCTCAGACCTCCTCCACAGTACCTGCAGTGCTCAGCTGCAGACACTCGGGAGTCCATTTATCTGAGATAGTCTAAAAGACAGAAGTCATGAGGAAATGTGACTGTTCTTGTTTTGTTATCAGCTTTTTTAAGGCAATAAAACAATGTTTAATTAACTACACGGAGCTGGAACTGCAGCCTTGAACATTTGTAATGGAGCAGAGGACTGATGGGGGAGCCGGCCAGGTGCAAACAGAGCTGCCCCCCCTTCTCTGGGTTTCAGCAGCAGCCGTTTGTCCAGATGACAGAGACGGCCACAGGAGCGCTTTCCCACCTGGAGGAAAGTTCCACCCTCGGATCCTCTTACACTGGGTTAGATTCAAGTGCGTTTTCACATCATGGGAAACAGCAGCTTCTTCCACGGCGCTCGCTTTAAAACTGCAGAATCAGCGCTGGCACAGAGTTACGGCTCCACACCCAACCAGAAGAGGTCGCCCTTCACTGTACCTCATCCTCAACTATGCAACCCGGCACACTTACTGCCACTGTGACGAGCTCCCTGCCTCTGACCGGGTGGACGTCTGTTTGCTGCCTCGTGTCTAATGAGATCCTGCTCTGACACCAAAAGAGTGGAAAAGTACAGGTGCCATTCATCCCCTCACAATATCCTTTACAATGACCCGTGATGGTGTCTACGACTGGGCTATTCAGAATGACAAACTGGTTTTCCCACCTTTGGAAATGACATTTTCCCTGCTTGATGTCAGGGAGACCAAAGCAAACAAAAGCCCATATGTCAGTGGTTCATCATGTGACACCGAGAGCTGGGACTAAGGCGACGTTTGGGGCTTTAGAAACATCTGAATTGTTTATAGAAAACAAGCTGAGGCGCAGTTAACTCACTTTAGTCATGTTTCAGTGGCAGGGTTAAATGTAGGTCAAAGGTCACCTACAGCTCAGGTGTAATTTCTCATCATCTCCTTCATAACTGCAAAGATCATTTCGCCTTCTAAAAACACTGAACTCACGCAGCTCTGTGGATTTCTGTGGGCTTTGACCGAGATACACTCCGTGTGGATGTGGAGCAGCAAAGATAAAGCCACAGCCTTCAAGTGTCCACTATCTACTGTCAGGCTGACACGCGTTTACACACACCAACCCTCGTGATTCAAGTTTCGCAGTGTGCGTCAGACTCACAGAAGAGTAAATATCAGCGTGTCTTTATTGTGAACTTTAGAGCACGTTATTTATCTCTGTTAGAAAAACGTTCCCAGCGAGAATATGACGCGAATAAAAACAGTGAGAAGTGTTTGAACTAAACGACGACGGGAAAGTGACGACGTTACAGTCCATTGAAACGCGTTAACGACGCTGATGTTTCTGCCCGATGCAGTGCAGCTATGAACAGCAAGATTTCAGCGGCTCCAGCTGCCTTCTTCGCTCCTCTCAGACAGCAGAGTTGCTCTGTAGGCACTAAAGTAGCACTAATACAGCAGCAGCGCAGCGGTGTGTCCTACCTGTTCGTGCCCGGTCTCTCCTCAGCCGGCAAAGCCTGCTGGAGGGAAAGCAGGCTGATGCAATACACAGTCAGCGGGAAAAAGAACCGCATCTCCGGGCCGACTCCAACTTTACACCCTCTTTCTGGGTAGGAGGGGGCGAAGTGACGGACTGGGTGAAGGTTAAATCCCAGGAGTGGGAGGAAAAAATAAATAAATAAATAAATAAAAAGTGTGATAATGTGTCCAAGATGGGCGGATTGGAGACTGCAGATGGAACCTTTAGGGGGAAAGTAAATAATGGGTCAATCTGCTGCTAATAAAACCAACATATATTTTAAAAAGCACGACAGTGTGAACGTCTACTCATAGCACCAGTCAAACTGATGCACCGAGAACTTTACATTATGCTGAAAAAATGTCCCAAAACGGCAAAATCCATAAAGTCACCATAAAGTCCTGCCTGCTGTTTTATATTTGTTTTTATTTTACTTAAAAGAAGCAAAGACTAGTCTCACCTTTTAGGCAATTAGAGCTCAGAGGGAGGATTTAGTTCCCACGAATCCAAACGTGTTGGTCAAGATCAAGTTCTCCGGTTCTCTGAGCTCCGGGTGATATTGTGGGTTTAAATACTGAGAAGGCGGAGTTCACTGCCTCTATTCCTGGTGGGCAATTTTCAGAAAGGTGCTGGGAGGGTATAATATGCTAAACCCGGGAAATCCAGCGTTGATATGGTGCACAAACCCATCCCACTGCTAATCCTTTATCAACGAAAATCACAAGAAGCGCTCGCTTGTATTTGAGCCCCAGTTCTCATGTCCTTGTATAAAAGATGCTGCTGGATGTGACGAAGAACAGAGCCCTCAGCTTTAAAGGTCCTAGAAGCTGAACACCAGACACCTTTGTGTTAAACATCTGCTATCAGTACTTCAAAGCTAAAAGTGTCACCGTGAACTTAACGCACAGCTGTGAGCTAACAAGTAACCAGCACTAACACATCACCCACAACTCCATCTATCATAATCCACCACGTGCACGCGCAGGAAAATGCCTCACGTTTGCATGAATTTCTCAAGCAGTCAAACCCTCCTCTTCACCTTATCACCGCCTCAGCCCGCGTGTGTGAAGCAGATAGAAGGAGATGCGGGAATCTTCAGACTCTCCGCTTCGCTGGTGAGTCAGGCTATCGAAGCGGCACTAACACGTTTTCCACACGTGAATATTTCCTTCACACACTTTATTGCTGCTGGTGTCTGTTCCTGGTAGGAAGCACGCGTGGTTTTATTTGGGTTATTCGGCAGATGCTGTAATTTTCGGTTGTATTTTGTAATCTCTTCCAGTTCTATGTCACAAGTCTGAACATGCATCCTACAACTCTGCAGAATGACTCAGATGAATCCTGTGGAGATTATTCCACCTCATGAGGCAGGACTGCTGTGCGTGTCCAAGTCCCCTCCTACTATTCTTTGTCGGCCTGATGCTAATTCATACACCTGATGCTGCCTCAGAGGCAGTGGCGCAACTTTCGTTTCCAAGAAGGCGCGATGAGAGCATCCACGTAAAGACAGAGACAGGGCAGAAAAAGCAGAGACTCCGCGAGGAATTCGGAGATGTAATGTTTGTTGTTTCGCCCTTTTGCTGATGTCAGAATCCTCTCAGGCTCATAACCTCTGCATCTAAATAAACACGGACACAGAAGAACACAATAAGCACTTGGACAGAAAGAGTGCGCATAGCTGCTTTTTGCAAATGCTTCCAGCTCAGCGTGTAGAATCTTCTCTCTGGATGCAAAATGTTTCATTCTGAAGACACAAGCTGGACATCATGACATGTTTGTGGAAAACATGAAATACTGCGAAACAAATCCTGAAAAATGTGTGCTAAAGACTCCTGCCCGAATCATCCCTGTACTTGTGGTTAGCACGCCGTCATTGCTTTTGTTTCTACTGTCTGTTCTTATTTTTAATGCTTTTTCAATCATGAGAATAAAGTTGGTTTTCATTTCTTGGGGTTTTAAAAAGAGAAGCTTTAAATATGTCATGTCCAGTTTCATAGTAAGTAGATAAATCTTGAAAAGACTCGAAATGTCAAGAGAACAACAGCACGTTGTGCCACAAGGCTTTCAGTGTCAAAGATCACACAGGAAAATCAGATGACTCCAGCTGACTCTATGACTCTCCTGCACTGTAATCATAAGCCACGAGTTTCCATCTATTTTCTAACCGCTTACTTTATCCAGTTATGTGTCACCGAGGGGCTGCGGCCTATCCAAGCTACACCCTGGACAGGTCCATCAGGGGGCTGACACACAGAGGAGGCCAAGCACACAGGCACACACATCTACTGCCAACTTAGAAACACGCGTTAAACTAACAAACAGGGATGTGCACTTAGGGAGAAGACGGGAACCTGATCAAACATATGCAGGAACAAGGAGCACACAGCTCAGCTGCCCAGATTAGAGGATTAAAGGAGCCAGTGTCTCCCATACTGACCTCTCCTCATTGCCTCTCTGCTCAAGTCAGTTCAATTTTAATTATATAGAACCCAACATTCACCTCAGGGCGCTTTATATTGTAAAGTAGACCCTAAAACAACACATACAGAGAAAACTCGACAATCATATGACCCCCTATGAGCAAGCAGTTTGGCAACAGTAGGAAGGAAAAACTCCCCCAAGGTCTTAAATAATCAGGCCCCATCTTATCTTAATGACCTTGTAGTACCATATCACCCTATTAGAGCGCTTCGCTCTCGCTCTGCAGGCCTACTTGTTGTTCCTAGAGTATTTAAAAGTAGAATGGGAGGCAGAGCCTTCAGTTTTCAGGCCCCTCTTCTGTGGAACCAGCTTCCAGTTTGGATTCAGGAGACAGACACTATCTCTACTTTCAAGATTAGGCTTCAAACTTTCCTTTTTGCTAAAGCATATAGTTAGGGCTGGACCAGGTCACCCTGAATCCTCCCTTAGTTACATCACAGTTTGCCTAGACTGCTGGGGAGTGCTTCTTCTTCATCCAGTTTTCTCACTCTCTGTGTTTATTCATCAGGTATTATTATTCCCTGGCTCTCTTCCACAGCCTGTTTTGTCCTGCCCCCGCAATGAATTGGTCGTGTTTCTGCAGTACATCCCACAGATGCTCAATTTCATTAACATTTAGGGACTTGTGAGGCCAAGTGAAGACACTGAAATCTTTGTCTCGATTGTGAAACCATTTCTGATTTCCTTGCGGTGAGGTAGAGCATATCCTCACGTTGGAAGAGGCTACTGCCATAAAGGTGTTTAGGAAGATGGTACATTTCAAAGTGTGATCGCAGCAGAACATTGTCCAGAGCCCCACGCTGCCTGCATACGTTTGGGAATGTCACATATCGCCCTGATAGAAAGATGTGATTGACTGGAGTCCATCAGCTTCTTTACTGGTCCAGCTGTGTGTGCTTCTTGAGGTTTTCCAGTAATCTGGGCTACAGTAACTCTTTTGTTGGATCGGAGCACATGGAGCATCTTTTGGTCCTCTTGTGCCTCACTGAGCCCGGGGCAGCTGTGGCACGGGGCATGTAAGAAGCTGATCACATCCTTTACTCACTTCCAGTACATCACCTTCAAGAACTGAGTGTTCAACTGACACTTAACATATTCCACCCTTAACAAAAGCTGCTGTAAGGAGACCGTCAGCAATAAAGAGTGTTTGAGAGGAGTACTGGTTGGCACCACTGGTCTCAACAGGCAAACTCAAAAGGAGAACATTGGAGACATGGTTGGAAGCATGACTTGGATGTTTCTGCTGGGTTTGGGCTATAATGTGCTGTGTGATCCCCGCCTGAAGTGCACTGTGAGGCTTATGTAGAGTGATATTCACTAAGACAGGTTCATTAGAGGTAGCTGCCAGCTTCGCACCCTCAGCAGTATCCCCTTACAGCTCAGCCCTGCTGTGATCGTGTTATAACACCATCAGAGCCGAAGCCTTGGAACGAGCTACAGCTGACTCCTTCATCCATCTGTGAGAAGATGTGTCTGCTCAGGTTATGGTTTAAACATTTCACTGTACCATCTTGCAGTCAGGTGAGGGACGTTCTGACCTTTCACCTCCTGTAATCAGAGCTGAGGTTAAGTCATCCCTATTAAATAGTGCATGTTGAATCTGCTCTAACCTTCACCCACAGTCTGCACCAACAGCAACTGCTTTGTGATGACACAGTGGTCCCTGAAATTCCCCCATGTAGGCAGATAGCAGTAACTCATTTATCAGTCAGACTGGCTGAGAAAACAAGCCACTGTTTACTGGCTCTGACACGCTTATGTAAGAGTTTTCTGGTGTGTGACAGCAGCCTGCGAATCGGCCCCGCTGGACTCTGAACACAGGCTTCCCACTTGGTTTGATCTCCCGGGCAGGAGCTGTCTTCACTTTTGTTTTAAGCTGCAATTAGCAAATATGAGAAGATGCACTGTGTCGCTGCCCAGAATGGCACAGGGCAGCTTTAAAGGAGCTGCTGTCTTTGAAACTCATCCAAACATGTGCTCAACTGATCAAAGATCTCGATGTCCGCTGATAATATGAAGCTTTGAACAGTTGCATAAACAGTAAAACTAATAAGTGTCACTACACTGGGCTCAAACAGTGGTCCTTAAAAAGCAACATTTCAAATGCACTGGAGCTCCAGAGCTGTAAGCATAGAGCCGTAGCTTTGTCTTTCCACGGAGATGATCACATGAGCTGTGGGATTGAGACAGCTAACCACAGTGCTGATAAATGGACGTGGTTATCATATCTGAGCAGCCTCGTCACAGCCACAGAGGATTTTATGGATCCTCGTAGAAGTCGCTTTTCAGCTGTTTCACTTAAGTATCGTGTTATTAAGGACTTCATTGCATTCATGAGTTCAAATTAGCACTGCAGAGGTGAATGGGAGTGGCTCAGTGTTCAGGTTTAAAAGGAAACACTGTAGCTTGTCTTTATGCTTTTATTCTTCTTAATAAATCGAGTCGCACTGATTCATGCACAAAAACAAGCCTGACAAAGCACTGGACCCTGCAATGTTCCAACAAACGTTACTGAAACAGGAGGAAGTCGTGAGTGTGTGGCTGTGGATTCATCTACTTTTTTTGCTTGCTAGCATCACTCTAAACTGCAGCGTACGCACACATTACCAAAGAAAACCTGCTTTTGATGACGGTCACCTAACAGCACTCACCGTGTCAGGCTCTGCTCAAAAACAGGACAAATCCAGTCGTGCTGGATCTCTGTACTGACATGGACGTAGAATGAGTCCACATCATTCCCAGCTCTGCCCATCATGGAGCACACAGACAGTCTGAGGTGCAACACGGAGACATCAGATGACCAGGAGCTGCCTGCATGCTCTCACCATGAAGCCAGGAGGAACCCAGCACGAGTGTCCTCTACCTGCAGGAGCATGGCTGTTTCAGGGGTTGCCTCATTGTTCCCCCTGTTCTTTATTTCATTAACTGATACCTAACTGATCACATCAACATCCCACAAGTTTAACTGACCGTTGCTACAAACGTGTTCCTTGAATTCTTTTGAACAGTTCACTTCACACTGATCAGCTTTTACTCAACGACTCTGGTTGGGTGATTTTGGTGTGAATGTCTTTTGCCTCTTTTG